GTCGGGAACACGTATGCCGCGAAATCGTTCTCGGGTTCTGGGTGCGTTGAGCATGGTTGTGATTATTCTGTGTCGAGATGCCGCTTGTTCCACGATCATCACACGATCTCTCAGTTTGTAGACGTTGTTATGGTTTGATACGCGATTAATAGCCGTGGGAGGGCGCTATCACGACCAACCAATATCACCCACGAACCCGTTGGAACAACGTCTAGGACATTTCCTAAAATCTCCCCCTGAAAAAAGGGGGAAACTAGTGCATATACGCAACTTCTGCAAGTAATTACTGTTCATTTTCCGTCCCACACATACCACACATATACACACAACAAAAGAGCTGACCAGTGCAGTTGCACAAAAGTCGTGCTGCATCTTTTTAGTATGGTGTACTATAAAGGACACCTATCAGTTATCGTCGTGCGTGTGGGGAGCTCCGTCGTGCCTGTGAGCAGGTCCGTCGTGCCTGTGAGCAGGTCCGTCGTGCCTGTGAGCAGGTCCGTCGTGCCTGTGAGCAGGTCCGTCGTGCCGAGCAGGTCCGTCGTGTGTGGGGAGCTCCGTTGTGCCTGTGGGCAGGTCCGTCGTGTTTGTGAGCAGACCGTCGTGCGTGTGAGTAAAACCGTCGTGCCTGTGAGCAGGTCCGTCGTGTTTGTGAGCAGACCGTCGTGCGTGTGAGTAAAACCGTCGTGCCTGTGAGCAGGTCCGTCGTGCCTATGAGGCGCCATGTGTAAATACATTATTTAACAAAATTATTTATATATAATTCATTGTTTATTATATAATTCAGTTTTCCGGACAATTATATGTAAATAATTGTTTGGCAGTTTGCATTATATGTAAATAAATTTATTTGCCACTGCATTATTTATATATATAATTTTTTTTGCAAACTTATTTTGATATATAATTTATTTGGTACCTCATTATTTATATATATTTTTTGCACGCTTTAATTATTTATTATATGATTTATTTGGTACCTTATTATTTAAAATATTTTTTGCACACTTTATTTATTTATATATAATGCATTATTTATTATATAATGCATTATATTATTTTATCACTACAAGATGAAATGCATCATGCGGCACAGATACAGACTGTTGATCAGTTACGTAATTTTCTTCAATCAGTTGGTTGTTGCCATGGGGTAAGTGTGCGCGGTAAACAGTAGCCTACTCGGTGGGCGCGGCCAGGGAACACCTGGCCGCCCCAATTATTTGCGGACGTGACATAATTTATTGAGGCCAGATAAATTGTTCATATCGCTAAAATGATATGGATTGCACGCCCAAAGTGGTAAAGAAGCAATATCGATAGAGTGTATTAAGTCAAGTTCATTAATTAGGCTCAGAAAGTTCACTTCGGCTTAGCTTTTCGAAGCCGCTAAACATGGAAAATAAACGCACCACCTCCCCTTCGCCTCCAACATTAAGAAATTAATTAAGGGCGAGAAGTTACTGGGTACGACGGGCAGTGCCTCAATTCAAGAGAAATAAATAGTTCTTAAGTAAGATTTTGAATTTTGACCAATTTTCACAATTTCGTTTTAATCTTTAGAAACACTACGCCTAGCACCCTTTAGTACTGGTAGGGCTTATTCCAATTGTATTTTCAAACGGTGGGAAAAAAATCGGCTTTTTTCAAGTTTATTCTTAAGAAATTTTGGCATTTTTCAAGTTTATTCTTAAGTAATTTAGGCATATTATAAATTCAAGTCACGTGACAAATTACACTGTGACTTACACCCATTTGTTCTGATGGGGTTAGTATCCAACCGTAGTTTCTAGCGGTGGATATTCGCAGTGAATGATTGGCAAGCGTGCCAAGATTTGGGCCCAGTGATGCCAAGCATGGCAAGGATTTGGGGCAAACGTACGTGCCCCCATTTTTTTTTCTGGCCAATGTGCCAAAACTGTTTGGGTTAATAACATTTGAATAAAACAAATAAACTAATTATTATATAATGCATTATATAATAAAAAATGAAAGTGTGCAAAAAAATATATATAAATAATAAGTTACCAAATAAATTATATAATGGATAATTAAAGTGTGTAAAAATTATATATAGAAAATGAGGTACCAAATAAATTATATATAAATAAATAAAGTGCACACAAATTATATATAAAAAAAGGTTGCAAATAAATTATAAATAAAACAAAAGTGTGCAAAAATTATATATAAATAATAAGTTTGCAAATAAATTATATATAAATAATTCTAGTTTGCCCAAAATTATATGTAAATAATTAAGTTGCAAAAAAAATTATATATATAAATATTGCAGTGGCAAATAAATTTATTTACATATAATGCAAACTGCCAAACAATTATTTACATATAATTGTCCGGAAAACTGAATTATATAACAAATAATGAATTATTTATAAATAATTTTGTTAAATAATTTATTTACACATGGCGCCTCATAGGCACGACGGTTTTACTCACACGCACGACGGTTTTACTCACAAACACGACGGTTTTACTCACAGGCACGACGGTTTTACTCACAAACACGACGGTTTTACTCACACGCACGACGGTTTTACTCACAAACACGACGGACCTCCCACACACGCACGACGGACCTGCTCACAGGCACGACGGTTTTACTCACACGCACGACGGTTTACTCACAAACACGACGGCTTTACTCACACGCACGACGGTTTTTCTCACACACACGACGGACCTCCCCACACGCACGACGGACCTGCTCACAGGCACGACGGTTTTACTCACACGCACGACGCTCTGCTTACAAACACGACGGACCTGCTCACAGGCACGACGGTTTTACTCACACGCACGACGGTCTGCTCACAAACACGACGGATCTGCTCACAGGCACGACGGTTTTACTCACACGCACGACGGTCTGCTCACAAACACGACGGACCTGCTCACAGGCACGACGGAGCTCCCCACACGCACGACGGTCTGCTCACAAACACGACGGATCTGCTCACAGGCACGACGGAGCTCCCCACACGCACGACGATAACAGATAGGTGTCCTTTATAGTACACCATATTTTAGGCCTACACTACCGAAAGACATTTAAGAGTTTGAATCGGGGATTAAACTACTATGAATTTTTGAATTGTTCGCTGCATATATTAGGCCAAACAGGTGCGCGCGCGTTACACAACCAATATTAATTGGCCTCGACGATGTTGCGACGGGTTCGTGGGTGATATTGGTTGGTCGTGATTCCGGAAAACACATCAACAGAAAAATCCAGTTGTTTTAATTTTTACAGGGGGGTCTAAAAAGTCGGAATTTCGTGCCTACTTACTTTATGGACGGGCCACTATGTACAGTTCAACAAGTGGCTCTGGAAATAGTGAAACTGTTACGTTACACAATATGGTCGCCTGCACGTTTAGTGTAGATGGATTGTGCTGCTTTGATTTATCCCACAGGATCAGGCGCGATGCTAAAAGGGAGGGGTGGGTTGCTTTAGAAATGTTTACATTAACATGAAGTTATTTTAAGAGAACGTTTCTCTGTCTTTTTCAAATTTAGTAAGAAATTGACCTGGTAAGATCCCAGTAAAGGCCGACGTGTAGATTTCAATACATTTGCAGCCTGTTCGGAGGACTATGTCACTTTTAAGATATCACTTTTCTGCAACCCTGGCCTGTCCTCATAAAATGCAACAGTATGCTGTCGGGGACGGGCGTAAAACGCTTTATTTTGCACTTTTGTTTGTTATGCAATATGTTTGAACGGCGACCCCTAGAGTCAGATGATGTCCAACCCCCAACCCCGCCCCCACTTCCACTCCCGCTTTTTGAATTTCCGATGCTGCCTGCCCCCGTTCCTCCCCAGGTTGAAAAGAAATCGCCGCGTCCGACAATGTGCCAAGTGACCCGTAATTTGTGATGGTGTACTTTGTTTCATTGTAACAATTCCAACCACATTTCCCTTGATTGCAGGTGCCATGACAAATTAAGTGTAGGCATACGTCATAAAATGTTTTACGCATCAAGCAAGGATGCGATCAAACAAGTTTTCAATGGCATAAAAGGAGAAATTCAATCAAACGAGGACGGCCCTGGATACATCAAGGAAGAACTAATCAGAGCAGCGAAAGAAGCTGAGTAGAGATAATTACACGTGAATTATCATGAACACTACGCTGCATGGGAGACTTCGCAGACGATTGGTGGCAGCAAACACACCGGTCCTTTTCAATAATTCTTGCGTCGTGTGTAAGCTAATTTGCTCATGTTCAATATGACGCAAACAATAGAAAAGGACCGGTGTGTTTAAGTTTGCTGCACCGGATGCCACCGAAAGTCTCAAAAGTCTCCATTGTTGCACTAGATTAAGGGTTTGTGGGAGGTTTTATGAATTAAATACGCTGAATTAGATTGGTACATAATAATAAGGTGTGGGAATTCTGGGTGTGGGCTTCTGCTATAATGAATAAAAAGGAGAAGGATATTTTAAATGTCCAATGTTTTCTAAAACCGCCCTCAGGTTGACCTTGCGACCGCACAGAACATGAACAGTTGGCGCGTGAGCTAAGACCGTCGGGAACACGTATGCCGCGAAATCGCTCTCTGGTTCTGGGTGCGTTGAGCATGGTTGTGATTATTCTGTGTCGAAAAGCCGCTTGTTCCACGATCATCACACGATCTCTCAGTTTTGTAGACGTTGTTATGGTTTGATACGCGAAAACCCGCCGCCGCGGGAGGGCGCTATCACGACCAACCAATATCACCCACGAACCCGTTGGAACAACGTTTAGGACATTTCCTAAAATCTCCCCGAAAAATGGGGGAAACTAGTGCGCATGCGCGACTTCTGCGGGCAATTACTGTTCATTTACCGTCCCACACATACTACACACAACAAAAGCTGACCAGTGCAGTTGCACAAAAGTCGTGCTGCATATTTTTAGGCCTACACTACTGGAAGAAATTTGAGAGTTTGAATCGGGGATAAAACTACTATGAATTTTTGGAATTGCGCGCTGCATTATGTTAAGCCAAACAGGTGCGTGCACGCTACACAACCAATAGGAATTGGCCTCGACGATGTTGCGACGGGTTCGTGGGTGATATTGGTTGGTCGTGATAGCGCACTCTCGAGGTGGCCGGTTATCGCGACGGCGGGTTATCGCGCATCAAACCATAACAACGTCTAGCCCCTAGACTAAGTTTTGTGACATGAGCATAACTTTTGTGCTTGATACCGACGGTTCCGTCGCGGCGTAAGTCAATTGCAGGTCGACCTGAGGGCGGCGGAACTAGCCATACTGTTTTTCGAGTCCCCCCACCCGAGAGGTTTGTTTTATTGCTATTTAACTTATCATTGCAAAAGTTTACACGTTTGAATGAGACATCCCCCCCCCCGTTAATATATGGAATAAATTACTTTGCTAATTCCGAATTATTTACTGCCCAACACTAACATAATTTTAATTAGGTAAACATCTTGTTCCCGCCTCGATCAGAGCATATTATAGTGTAGGGACTGGGAACCAGTCTATTCGCTGGACAAATCTGTCTGTGCGGAAAAGCAACCCAAAATTTAAGTATTTTTTTTAGAGGGTTGTAGATACCGCAAAAAAGAATACATTATTTTTACGTTGTAATAAAAAGTGTGAGTTTTAAATCCGTCAAGAAAAAAAAGGCAACTTTTTATTGAAATTCACGGATAGTGAATTCTGTAATGCACCCAAGGAAGATATTTGCAAAAAGAACCAATTAGAACCAATTATAATATACCTGGATAAAGTGCGACTTCAGTGGCATCCAAAACACGTACTACGTAACCATCTGTCCATTTCAATCACCCCGTCCTTTTCTGTCGGAATGTTAAGGTGTCCCCGCCAATTATTATCGTAATTCGTCGAAAACATGTTTTCCAATTTTGTCTCTCGATCTATCACTCGCCGTCAGTAAAAAGGAATACAGGTCGGATCCAGAACACAATTTTGGGGGACCACAAAAAATGTTGGTTCCCCAAAAAGTGGGTCCAAAAAATGACGGCGTGGGGTTCGGGGCCCGCTGAAGGTCCCCCATTGTGAGTATGTTCTACATAAGTTTATAAGCTGATTTTTGTAGCTGTTCATAATTTCATTTATGCCTTCATTCTTGGGAGTGTGCTATTTGAGGAAGTTACTGGCCCTGCTCCAAGTATAGGCATATATTGAGAACGAAATCCACTGTTTCAGTCAAACAAAACTAATTTATAACGTTAGTTAGAGATAGCTTGAGTAACTCCAGCGCATATGCTCATCGGGGCTGCAAACTATGTTGTATCCGTATGTTCAATATGGCGAAGTTCCTAACTCCTAAAAAAAAACCGGATTTCCACAAAAAAAATATTCCGGAAAGTACAACAACAGAAAAATCCAGT